TCCAAGTTATGCTAGTCATTATATGCTCTCCCAGTTTACCGTAAATGGTTATGCTGCGAACGGGACGGTGGAGTCTAGGTTAATGAAATGGGCGTGAAAGATCTGTGGTATGAAGGTTAGAGTTTAAGTGGTCAAGGCTGTTAATGACGACGGTTTTTCACATAGGAACATTAAAATGTCTGGACTGTGGCAGTTAATCTTCCTCTCCTAGCTAGCGTGTTAATGAGTCTTCGCGACATCAGTAGCCAGCCTTATTATCAGGTTAGCTTGCATGAATCGTTTGTTTTTAAGCAGTAATATCTGACTTCTAGACGATAGGCAGTTGGATGAATACAGAGTGCTTGCGGAGAAACGTGGAAAAAAGCAGTCTGTTTTGCCAGTGGCTGAAAAGATCATGAACAATATGCGGGTCATTGATGGTCGTGTGGATACGAGTACAACCTACCTGTTTGTTCAAATACTAGAACATATGCTCAGCTGCATTGTACAGGTAGGTAGATTCGGTTAGTTTTATCTACGTTCTTCCACCTAGGCCGCTCTCAATTATCGTTCGGAGCTGGGAGTGCTTTCTGAATGCGCCATCACTTCAACGGATATCCAAGTTTGTGTCTTTTTAATTTACGCGTAGTATTCGGCGATTCGTTTTCAATTAATGCACTTCTGGGTAAATGGTAGCGACCATTAAGTTCACTTTACAAATCCCAGTAGTGATACGATAATGAAATCAGTATTCATAGACAGCTACGAGAAATATTGCGTTTATACGCTTCCAGAATTTCTATAATTAAAGCAAAACGTACCAGATCGATGTGAGTGTCGTGTGCCTTCTTTTCAACTTATTTTGTCCATAGAAGGGGTCGTTCACTTTTCCCATGTACCCATGGGCTTAATGCTCAGCTCAGTACTTCATTATTCATGTGGTGTGCGTTGTTTGGTTTTTGCTATTTGAATAGAGATGATTGCCACATCCTTAATGAACTGAGTCCAGTTTTTGTTGCCACACGTCTTCCTGAACTAATCCGCATTGTGCTAATAACGCCACATTGGTTTAGGCCGACGCTTTCATGAGCTCCGGGTGGAAGGAGTGCTCTAAACCTTAAGGCTCCTTTTGTGATTTGCTTACTCAACGAAGTAGTCTTACCCGCCTACAAACTTATCCCCTTTTGTACACCATTGACAGCACATTTTTAGCCTGTTGGGCACACTGCCGGTGGACATGTTGAGTGGTAGGGTGCCGCTGGTACGACGCAACACTGACACCTATGAGGGATGTTTGCGAGACCTCCAGGCCTTCCTCAAGACCTCTAACTGGTCACTCAGCCTCGTCACACGCATCTTCTTCGAGCCCCTCCTGGGCATTCTCACAGCCCTCAGTGGCGAGTCTGCCCCATTCTCCTCAGCCGCTACCGTTGCTGCCAGCACCGACCTTGGCCGAGCGGCTAGTTCTGCGCTTGCTGTTTTCAAAATGGCTAAGAGCCTTGTGGGTGATCTCAACATCCTGGCTGAGGTGTCGGATGATATATTCGATAGCACTGCACATCTCCTCAACTACTGTTTGCAGGTTCGTCTGTCTTCTACTTCTCCCTGCCCTTGGTACTCTTTTGTTGGATGATTTGGAGCAAAATTTCTGCTCTTTTTTTAGTATAGCACTGGAATTCTCTCGTTTCCCCTTTGCACGTCGAAGCACAAAAATGCATGTTTGGTCGTGCACGGTTTCAGCGCTAGTTTGATCTTTTGTCACAAAATGTCCCCTTACCTTCTTAGCCATTTGAATTTTAGTACGATTAGCCTCATCCAACCTTCTGAGGCGCCCAATTTCGACGAAATTTAGCTGGTGAGCAGCACCTCTAGTCCACTTCTTCAACCGGTCTCTTCAGATAGGTCTGTTTTGCCATAATTGTAGGCGTTGGAGGAGCACTGGGAGATATATTTGTTTGAACAATATTGCACTTTACATCGTTCAACTGTTTTTTTTTGTGTCCGTGAGATATCGCCACGGTGTCCAAAAGTGTCCGTCATTTCCCAGCATGACTTTTCTTCTGACCTGTCAATGAGGTTGCGGCAGA